CATGCTCTTCTTGCCTTTATGGTTTGTGAAGAGAAGTCAGCTGTAATTCTGATGGGTTTTCCTTTGAATGTGATCTGCTTCTTTTCTCTAGTGGCTTTCAGTGTATTATTCTTGTGCTGGATTTCTGGGATCTTAACTATTACATGTCTCGGTGTGTTTTTAATTGGGTTGAGGTTAGTTGGTGTTCTGTATGCTTCAGTTACCTGAATTTCAGATTGCTTCCTCATATTTGGGAAGTTTTCTGCTATTACTTCTGCTCATATTTTTTAATGTCATTTGTATTGACTCCTTCTTTCTCACTGATACCTATTAGTCTCACATTGTTCATCTTTGCATCATCTTGCAAGTGATAAATTATTTTTTCCTGCATCCTCGTTGTTTTTCAGAGATCTTTCCTTACCTTTTCACTCCAGCATCTTCAAGATCTGAAGCTCTGTCTTCCCTTTCACTCAAATAGTTTTGCAAGCTTGTGATTGAGATTTTAAGTTCCTCTATATCTCTTTGTTTCTGCTTCATGGGATCTATTTCTTTCCTGTATTGCTCATTCAAGGAATCCATCATTTCTCTAATCTCTATTTTTTATCAATGTCTTTTTAAGAAGCAATTATTAATTCTTTTACTGCAGAGATTTTTTCAGATTGGGTTTCTTCCCTACATTTCTGTAGTTGATTCTTTACTTCAGATGCTATGAGTTCATAGAATTCCTTTTTTATTTCAGAAAATAATTCCACTCTGAGTTCCTCTATATCTGTCTGTTGTTGCTTATTTACTTTTGATGCTATTAATTCATACATTTCAGCTTAGCTAGTGTCCTCTGCAATTGTTCTGTGTGGGTACTGGGTTTTCTCCACATGTTTCTGCAATTGATTCTTTACTGCTGATGTTATTAATTCAGGGATTTCTTTTTTCATTTCCAATCTGAGTTCCTCTATACCTTTCTGCAGCTGTTTCTGTATTTCAGAACCTGTTGATTCATTGATTTCAGCTGTGTGGTTTCCAATTTGTTCTGTGTTATTGTCCTCTTCACTTGTTATGGGTGGGGTTGGGGTCTGAGATTGCATTTTGCTCCTTCTCGTTGTCATTTTGTATGGCATTGTTTTCTGACCTTTGTTGTAGAACTTTTGTGCAGTTATAACCTTAGCACCTACTGAAATTGAGGTGTAGTCTATAAAGTTTGAATTTATCCAGCTGTGCCTGGCTTGGGTCTGGATGCTGTGCTCAACTCCTTCCTGCTGCTGCCCTTGGGAGTGAACCTGTTGTGCCCCTCTGACAAGATGTTCTGCTCCTGAGTTGTTTTGGCCCCTAGTGTCTCTGCAGGGACTTCAGCTGCAATTTCACCCCAGGCCTGTATGCCAGGACTGAGCTGAGTCTGAAGGAAACAAGGTGGAATAGGGGGGAGAGGATGCTCTCCCACACACTCACTGGGCCTGGGCTAGGGCTGGATTTGAGGGTCCCAAGAACACGGCAGAAGTTCTCACTCACTGGGTGAGAGTAGGGGTGACTGCAGAGTGTGAGGGGTCCCTAGGGGGTATAAGAGGGTCTCACCCACACTGTGCCTGGGCTGGGACTGAGAATATATTCTTAAGATACAGCAAGCTCTAATACAAATTGATCTCCTAAGTGTCATTGATATTAAAACTATTTGCCAGTGGCACTACTCATAAAATGGAAGGAAACCCTGAAAAAATTTTCACATGTACTTGGCAAATAACATATCCATGATGTATAAAAAAGGTCTACACATCAACAGTATAGAAAGAAACAACACTGTTTAAGTATGGCAAAAAAAATTACCTTCACCAAAGAATACTTACTTACAGTCAGTTAAAAGCAAAGACCCAATATCATTAATGGTCAGAGAACTGCAAATGAAGGCTGCAGTGAAATTTGCTTACCAACCACAAAAATGACTAAGAGACGAAGGAATGTGACAACGCCGACCATCGATGAGGCACCAGAGCAACAGCTTGCCCGTCTGTAATCGTGGAACTGTGTACATGACAGAGTTAGTTAGCAGAAACATCTGTCAGTCTCCTGCAGGTTAAGCCTTCCCATTGACTGCCCCAAGACACAGAAACAGGTGTTCTCAGGAAAGCGCGCAGGGGCCGCACTCATGGTCATAGCTGGAAACGACCCACATGCCTGTCAACAGGAAAGAGATTAAGCAAACTCTTAGCCACACAACAGAGTGCAGAGAAAGCAGTGATTCATGTGAAATGTGGGCGAATACTAAAACCAACACACTGTGGACAAGTAGCCAGACACAATATCATGCGAGTTTGTTGATATCCACAAGAAAAATTGATGGTGCTGAGCCACGCATGAGTATCAGAACATTGTTTGCCTGTGGAGGACAACAGGAGTCTACCGGGGTGTCGCGGGAGAACTTTCTGGAGTGGGGATGTCTGGTTTTGAGTTATAACTAGACAGCTGTTTTAGGCTATCACAATTCATTGAGCTGAATAATAAGGATGTACGTTTTACTTTTTGCAAACATGATTTAAAACTAATTCTGCATGTTCTTATAATCCACAAGCATTTTCACCACAGCCGTGTGGCATGCCTCCTGCAGGTCTTGCGTGAGCCAGCAGCACGTGGATCTATTTCCACCCCTTACAGAGGCAGTAACTGAGTGAAGTTTCTCACTCAGAGGCACTGGCATGGGAAGCCAGGTGCCCAGCACTTCTCTAAGCCCGCTATGAGCCTGCAGCTTGGAGTCAGGAGCTGAAGCCTTGAAGCTGAGAAAGGCCTCGAGACTCAGCTTCTCAGTGCTCCCACTTGCCAGCTGCACAAACCGAGTCACAGAGAGCTCAGGGGAGTGGAAAGTGGAGCGTAAGCTTAGGGGTACCTGCCGCAGAGTGAGGAAGTCCGTATCACGAAACCAGGAAAGAGGTCACCACCCATCCCGTGCTCCCATGTCCTTTCTGTATGCTGTAGAAAGATGCCAGGTTTAGCTTCCTGCCTTCAAGTATCTAATGTAAACAGGGAAAGAAAATCAGTTTCAACATTACCCACATCCATAATCAACAACAGCCATCCCTCTAGTTAGGCAGGAGGGCGGGAGTGAATGCACATCTGCTCCTGGTAATGAGACTGGGGAGAATCTAGCTTTTAGAGATCTTCACTGACAGAAGTCACAGACTGTAGCCAATATTACAAGAGGCACAGAGAGTTTTCATCAGTAATTGCAATGATTGCTGCTTATTGCATTTTTCCCTGTGGTTCAGATACTTCTGTATTTTTGCTAGCATGGAAATCCAAAGTACTTTAGTATCCTACACTCGTTCTACCTCTGGAAATTGAGCTTTGAGGAAATTAAGGGATCCAGGACCGCCGCCTTCATTACTGTTCTCATTGCTGAGGCAAAATTCCCCACACCCACAATAAAAGGAGGAAAGGCTTACTTACCTCACAGTCTGCAGAGGCTTCAGCCCGTGGTCGGCTGGCTCCAAGGCAGGGTGGCGTGGCAGAGGGCCGTCACAGGAGAGATGGTGCATGGCGGGCAGAAGGCTGCAAACCAGCAAGGGACCAGCAGCAGCCTTCTTTCTGTCCCTTAAATTTCATCCACGCTTCCCACCCCTAGGGAAGGTGCACTCACTCGCAGGGTGCGGTACCCTTAGTCCTACCCGGAACTATGTGGAACCAATCAGTGCGCTAATTGGGTAACCACACACCCTTGACCCCAGCATCACAGGGCGAGGTCCAGCCACCCCTGAGAATCCCCACCCTTGACCAAATAAGACTTCCGGGAAACATTTAGGCACTAGCCGTAGCAGCCACACAGATGGCGAGTCCACACAGAAACTGACAGGTTGATTCCAAATTATGAAATGGGAACCAGTCAGACGTACTGTGTCCTTGTCATCGTCCAAATACTTGCTGTTTCAGTTTCGGATGGTACCACATGAAATCACAGCAATCTACCATAGTAATTACATTTAGCCAACAGCAACGCAGGTGTCTGCATTTGAATTAGAAATTAACATCAGATGAAATTCTATGTTTCACATTCAGCTTTAACCAATCCCTCTTTCAGAGGCAACCCCCTTGGAGGCTGTGGATTAGGAATACAGGGTTCCTAGAAAGATGACTAGCTACGGATACACCAGGCAGCGCTCTGGTGAAAGGATTTCGGGCAGGATTCTAGAAGACACTCAACAATAAAGAGCTCAAGGTCACATCTGGGTTGCTCAGCTTTCTCCAGCTGGTAAAATATGAACTCCTTTAATTTATTTCAGGGTTCAGCTAGGGCAGGCAGGATCTTATTACCTGCTCGCAAACTCTGTGGCAACACCTACATTCCCTTGAGTCCATGGGTTCTCCAACCAGAGTGAGGATGTGAACAAGGACACCTGGCCCCAGGGACCAGGGTTTAAGTGGCCTCTTGGCCATGGGTACCCTGACAGGCTCCTGTGGCCCTGAATGGGGCGCTGTCCTACAGGGACTGGCCAGAGGATCCCTGGCTGCAAATGAACTTCATTCTGTCAATGCATTTTGAGAAAAAAAAAATGCTAGTGATTTCATAGAAATATTGCAATACACAAAGCAATCTCAAACTTTTCAAAAAATGTTTTAATTGAGAGGTATAAGATATACGTTACACTCATGGCAGAATTATTTATGATAACATTTTCAGTTCCATCCAAAGTAACGCAAGTATGAAGTGGAACATTGTCAATATTTTAAAATGTTAAAAAACAATTCAATGACACACCAACAATTTTTATTATGATTTTAGGTAAAAAATGTATAACTCATTTTTCTGTTGTTGGCACAAAATATCTGACCTATAAAATTTGCAAGAGAAAAGGCTTCTTGTGGTTAATGGGTGCAGATGTCACAGTAAATCCACAGTCAACTGGCTGCATTTGTGCTAGGCCTATGACAAGGGACAAAGGTCAGAGTAGAAGGGCACAGCTGCTCCTGCGTCCTGAGGCCTCGCCGGCAGCCTCTCTGGGGGCATCTGCTGGGCACTGGCATTTGGTACCTCACATGTTTCCAGAACTTGGAGTTCAGGGCCCGCTTGCTGGCCGTGTGATCCTCCCTCCACTTGATGGTGCCCTGCACTTGCACCAGGTGGCTGAGCGCCTCTTGGAGCCCCTCCGCCTGCAGCCCGCTGGCCTTGCCCTCCGCCTCCATCTCGATCAGGATCACCTTGGAGTCACTCTGGATGAGGGCGCAGTGCAGAGCCACCTCCTGCTCATAGGCGAACTCCTTGCCGTGGGGCACGTGGGGGGCCAGGATGATCAGGTGCCGCCTACTCTTTCGGATGCTGGCTTCCACCGCAGTGGCGGCATCTGTCATGTGAGAAAGGGACTGAGATTTTGTATCGTTGCTTTTTTAAGGCTAATGCTTGGGTCATAAGTGTCCTGAACAGTTAAAGCATTGTCTTGCTATAAACTGGCATGAGATTTGGCTATCAATCAAGTCACCTACTCGGAAAGTATAGACGAACCTGGGCAGAGAGCCCACCGCATTCTCCTCATCCGTTTCCTCACGAGCCATCAGCCCCAGTGCCCTCTTCATTCCCAGGTAGACCAATCCTAAAACCACCTTCAGCTGGATGAGGACATGGCCATCTACCCTAGAATTTCCCGGGTGACTTTGTATGCAGGATCACTGGAATTTCCTTAGACTATTCTCATTTTAGTATTTACATCTGCTTTTGTGCTTCAAGGGAGCTCCACATTTGAATGCTCTGATAGGTTGCGGCCCAAGTATGAATTATTGCTGAACTGTTATGGTGGTCATCTAATATGGCTGAAGCTCTTAAAACAGCTTATCTTCCCAGAGACCACCTCCCCCTTCTTCTCCGACCCAGCCCCGGTTGCAATTTCCTTTCTCCTTTCCCACCGCCACAGGAAAGACTGCAATCAGCTCCTCAGCTATTTCTAAACATCCCCTCAAACTCCACCCCTAACAAAAGCCTCAGCTTTCTTTCTCTCAAGCCAGAAGGTCTATCTGCCCCTCTGCCCTGGATACCCTCTGCACCTTTGGAGTTAATAAAGGCTTCTTTTATCTTTCCTATCTTTTTACTGCACTCCTGAAAAAACCTATCACTCTCAGATAGATTACAAACTCAGGAAGCCTGCCCTGACCCCTGAACTGGCCATGGGCTGCAGGGAGGTCCTGGATCTACCTCACAACCAAGCAATCTCTGCTATAGGTGCTAGTTTGATCCAGGCTGCAGAAAGCCTGAGGAAGGTCAGCCCTCCACCGGTCTTAATGGAGCACTGACACCTCCATGATTCTGTCAGCTCTAGGCAGCCTTAGAAAACCATGTGTAAAGCCCTGTCCTCACTGTGGCAGGGGAAGTGAGTCAAAAAAGCACAGCTACAACCAAAAGACTCAAGAACGTCCCGAAGTGGCTGCTAAAGGCTGCAAATACTTGTGGTCTGAGATGAGAAAACGAATGTGAGAAGGGATGGACAGAGACTGCTGGTTGGGATCCTGCACTCTGGATGGAGGTCATGGGTATAGCATGGATTTCAGGGGTGGATGGAAGATGGTCACTGTGGGAAGAGCCTGGCTGTAGGGCCAGCCTAGATCTTTCTCCTAGGGGACAGCAAACCTTCATGGTGGTGTTCTGTTGGGTTTTACTCTACCTGGGTGGAGGCCAGGTGAGGTGAGAAGACCTGAAGTGATCAGATCAGAAGCCTGCTGTAAGGAGGGAGCAAAGAACAAAGAATAGAGCCTAAGGAAACCTCGCTGGACATAGGGTAACCAGGTCCTGGAGGTGCCCTGTCTGTTCTTTGTTCCTTTAGCTGGGACACTAACTAGTGTTGTATGAATTGAGAGTTTGGCGAGCTTCACTTAGAGTGGGACTAAGCTCCGAGACCTCTTTAGCAGTGCTAATCCAGGCTCCTCCTTTGCTTTGGCTCTGACTGATTCCATACAACAGGACCAGCACTGAGGGCAAGGCACAGGAAACCAGCCAAGGGAGTGAGTGTTGCCCAGGGAGAGTGGCACACGTTCATGGACAGAGAGGACCTGGGCACCCAGGCTGGCTGGGGAGTGAGGCTTGAAATTAGCTTGTTGGGCTGAGAAAGAAGGTATGAAGAGCTGTGGCCAGCTGTGACACACAGTGTGACCTCACAGAGAGCCGGGGACCTTCCAGGACCTGAGCACATCTGTGACCTGGAGCACTCTCTGTGTAGGTGATCACTGGGGACACAGGAAAGCCAAGAGAGCCCCTGCAAAGACCTACATCCTGGTGAGCTGTCCATGTGCAGGTCTTCAGAGCGCTTACCAGGCTGTTAACCCTACCTGTGTGTTAACCCTACTACATGTGTGCCTTTCAGGATTTAGGAACTTAACCCCTCCCCTCGGTCAGAATGTCAGCTCGGAATGCTACACAAAACCTTGCCAGGCATCTGTGGATGACATCCTGGCCTCTTTCACATCCCAACTCTTTCTTGATCTTTGAGAAATTAGAGAAGCACTTATAGGGTGACTTAAAAGGTACTTGACACAAATAATGGAGGCAAGAGAAAAATAACTATTGAGGTTGTGGTAAAACTTTCAGGAGTATAAAGCTGCTTAAAGATATTAAGAGACAGAAGTCACAGCTTTACTTACTCAGGTGAGAACATGTTAATAAAAATTTGCCAATACAAAGAAAAATGAAGGCTCCCCACGGGTCCTCTGAACTCTACATTTTTTTAGCTAGTACCTACGAATATCAGAACCAGTTCTCTGCATTTTCAATCCTCTTTCAAATCTGAGGAGCCTGAAGAGTGGGGTCATCCTAGTGGGGACAGGGCAAATAAAACAGGGGCAATGTCAGCCAATTCCACAAGGCTAAGGACTCCTAAAGCTCACACCCACTCCGGGCCTGTGACATTCCTGTAAAGGACAAGGACAGGGATGAGCAGAACAAAGGCGAAGCACCTCTTGTGGCAGGATTTCAAAGCTCTGGTGTTGAGTTTTGATGAGTGAACACAATTCCTTTTCCACTGCAGGAATAAGACCATTTAGCCTTAGCCTTTCACTAGGTGGGATTTCTGCCCCTGATGTGTGCAGGCAGCTTTACCTTCTCCAGGCAGCAGATCTCGCCCATAAATGCATAAGTTGTATCCATACATGTTTTCAAGAACATCGGGCAGAATCTGGTGAACAAAGTACTCCACAGAGCTGGGCCCCTCGGAACCTCTTGCACGGTCTCTCGGGTATACAACGTATGCGTCATAGAGCTTTCCATCTGGAGACGAAAACATGGACAATTTCAGTATTTGGTTCTGAACATTCTCTTGAATCCTAGCAGCCTTCCCTTACCAGGTGGTGTGGTTGTTGATGAATGTACCTCATCCCCACAAATATTCTAGAACCAGACTAGGATGACCATCCACCACCCCACAGTGTGACCCAGAAATGGCAGTCCTGGTCCCAAAGCCTTCTGCTCTTGCGCTGTCTCAGACTGATGACAGCAGACACACCAGAGCCTTGCAGGATACAGTAAGCCATGTGGTCAGGCCTGATTGTGAGTCCATCAATGAGCAAGCACAGCAATGGACAGGGTCCTGGTCCTGTGCCTGGGGGGCCTCAACCCCATCCTCACTTTCCGCAGACAGTTGACCCCGCTGACCTTCAGTGGGTGTGTTCTGCAATGCGGACTAGTTGCCTGAAACCACAGACAGCACCAGTCCCTGCACAGTGTGTGCCCTGTCTTGCCCTGTCTATAGACACCTACAATAACATGAAGCATGGGGTAGGCACAGAGAGTGAGATCTCAGAGTTAGAGCTGACTGGACTTTATGGACAGCCCCTCCTGGCCTTCCTTGAGGCCCAGGAAGTTTATACTAATAATCCCATGGAAAAGTTACTGGAATCCCATCAAGTTAATTCCAGTCTACCACTCACACTGCAACCCACGGCATAAAGACACAATAATAATTTACATTAAAATAGGAAAGCCGTAACAGCAGACTGCAATAGTTACCAGCATCACTGCTCTTAAACCTGGGGACCCCTAGTGGGGGAAGTAAGGATTACTTGAACAGGGCACTGGGACAGCACAAGTGCCCAGCATGCAACCCAGACTTCTACTGATGCACAGGCAGGTGGCGTGGACAGCGTGGATACCAGGCAGAGGGGTGGCTTGACTCACAGGTGGGGCAGAGTGTGGCCTCATGAGCTGTCATCATGCTACCCAGAAGAGAGTGTGATTTTAAGTTACTTTATTATTTCTGGAATTTTCCAGGTTATGACTTTGAATCTTAGTAGGCCTCAGATAGCTGAAACCCCAGGAAGGGAAGCCAGAGATAAGGCGCAGACTAGTGCAGTTCCCTGAAAGAAGGAAATGCTACCGGCTACTGGTGACAGAGGAGGAGGGTCGCCGGAGGCCTCCAGATTCCCCAGAACTCAAACACTTAGCTACAGATTACATGTGCCACATACAAAAGTCAACCCGTGTTTGCTTCTAAATGAAAGTCTAGTGTCACCCTCGGTGGACAGAGCCATTTTCCTTTCTGTGTGTACTCACTGAGTGGGGGCCCTGATGCTCCTGTCTCGCCTGCACATAGCTGGAAAACAGGAGCAGTTTTGTGACTTTCCAAGCTTTAGAAGCATACATTTCCCCAAATATGGAAACTGTCTGGGCTTGGGAAAGATCCTCTGGGGAGGTGATGGTAACACCAGTCCTAATGGGCAGGAGGGTCAAGCCGCAGGGATGAGGCGCAGAACCTCAGGGACAGACAGAGCCAAGTGGATGACAGTCTCTGAGGAGACTCAAAAATATTCACTGCAAGCCAGACAGCAAGGAAAGTGGAAAACAGGTCCAGCAGCATGACTACAATAAGCTAGTAACCAATAGTCATTTTTGAGGAAATCCTGGAAATCTGCCACTTACCATTCAGTGTTTTGTAAGATGTGGTTATATCTCTCCAGAGTAGACTAAGATCAATCCAGAACACTTTCAGGATTATCACCACAACATTGATTAGCATCAGCAGGACACTACACCCTGCAGCTATGTAGTAGAGGCTCCAATGATCAACTGCCAAAAGATGATGGCAAGGAGAGAAAGGATCAGTAGTGTTATCGAGATAACATGAAATGGATAAATGTAGGGAGGCCGGCCTCCACTGGAAGTTTCAGAGATTCACACTGAAGAGTTGCACCTGGGATCTTTATAGCTCCTTTAACAATGAATAAATGGATACTTCTAGACCCCCTACCCTAGGCAAGGCAGAAGTCTAGGTATCACAGCACATTCTCAAGGGTAAAGAGAGAGGCACATGCACACCTAACTACTTGGAGGCAATGCCATGGTTTTAACTGGTAGAGACATTTAGGAGAACTCCCACCATGTTTGCCTGGGAAAGGAGGTCCCAACAAGGACCAGGCAGATAAGGAAATGCACTTGGCCAGAGAGGATGCTGTGAGCAGAAGCTGGACTGGCTACTGTGACTGCTAGGGAAACTGAGTGTCCTATTCAGGGAAATGGTAAAAAATAAGATTACTACATGGGTCAGGGCTAGATCTGACTGCTGGACTTTATAAAGAGCCCCTCTTTATATAACCCTCTATAAAGAGCCCCTCTCAGTCTTTCTCAAGGTTCAGGAAGTTGATATTTATAATCCCATGGAAAAATTACAGGAATCCCATCAAGGTAATTCCAATCTCCCACTCACACTGCAAATTGTAGCATAAATAAAGACAAAATAATATATCCAACATGGTGGATATTGAGAGGTTCTGGAGACCAGCTAGGATGATGGTTAACCAGGACAAAGGCCTTGACCCAGGACTACTGTGGGTTTTCGTAGTTCGTGAAGAAGGGAGCGGCTTGAGGATGAGTGACTGTGAGAGTGGTGGGAAGGAGGTGGGTGCTGTGAGGTGGGTGGGTAGGAGGCCTGACATCACCTCTGCCAGGTGCAGAAAGAGCAACCTGCATAGCACAACCAAGGTAGTATCTAATGTTTGGGGTCTGTCCTTCAGCTCTGGTGTATAATTTTCTATGCCCTGGGAAGTCATAGCCCCTTATCCTGAGGCTAGATTCCAGCCAACAGCTTGGAAGAGGGCTCTCCAACCCCCCTCAACCAAGCTCACAGAGAGCTGGGGAAACACTGCCCTGTCACCCTGCTTCAAAGACTGCACATGAGCACCTCAGGTGGACCGACATACACCGATCAAGGACGACTGGAGGGGTAAGGAAAAGTCCTAGCCGGCTCCGTACATGCCAGTACATGGCAATAGGGCCAGGCTCAGCCATAATGGAGACAGCTGCTGCTCCTCCCGGGAGAGGCACCCAGGTGGCCCTCCACAGGACTTAAGCTCCCTGCTGAGCTTTTGCTCTGCCATGTTTCTCTACAGTCACAGGAGCAACAGGGGAGTATGAGTGTGACCACTAACAGTGACATGAAGCTGATGACAGAGCAAGGTTAGTTTCTGTGGACAGAGACTGCAGGCACAAAACGGGGTGCCTTATTTGGAGTGCAAGGTGAGGAGGACTTGGAGTCACGTGATCATGCACGGGACGGCCGAGCCAGGTGCTTGCTGGGAGACTAGGAAGGATGAACTGGCAGGTTCTGGGAATCCCTGCGGTGGAGTCGGTGCTGGATGCAGAAACGAGAGCCGGCGGGTCTCTGGGCGGTCACTCACTGGGTTCCTGGCCTCCACCGCACCCTTTCTCCCCAAAGCTGCACCTGGTGCGGCCGTCACTGAAGGCTTCTGCACACTCCCAGCCTCAGCAACTGTGCGTGCAACACCATTTCCAACCCAAATAGATCAGCAGAAGTCACTTCTGAAGAGCCATGATACCACATAGACTCTTGGCTGTTTTAAGCTTCCTTCGCTTACACTGGTTGCCTGTCTTACCTTAGCAAAGGTCCTGCTTACAGATAAACACAAGGAGAACCCCAAATGAGATTTGGCACTGTGGCTCTTTCTCCGTTTAGTCTTAACTTCTATGTGTGGGGCCCCAGGTGTGACAATGAAAACCACTGGACAGTGTCCACGAATTCTTCCGCCACTCCCAGTGGTCCGTCTGCCGCGTGAGTACCCAGCATTACGAAGCCAAGAATGGCCAAGATGAAGTGATCTGAGGTTGGGGGGAAAGAACTAAAAATTGGCAGGAAGCTCACTGTTTCAGGGATATATCGCCTAGCCCACTTCAAATGCCCGTGTGGATCCCAGCCTGGGTGCAGGCAGGCTAGAGGAGTGTACCTCACGGCAGGTTATGTCCAGATGGCTGGACGCTTCCACAGGACAAAGAGGTTGAAGACAATGAAAAGCCTGAAGTTCAGTATTTGCCTAAATATGAATGATTTCATAAGTGTTTGGTGTGATTGGTAGTGCCACGCCAAGCAATCCCTGTCAATGTTTATAGAATGAGAGGCGGTGTGTGAATCCTGACTCTACCCACGTCCACAGCGAGCCACTCACTGATCTTTACCTTCCTCTTCCTCTCTACAGAATTAGAGACAGGAACCATCTCTCACTTTTGGGGCATCAAGAAAGCAATTGAGACATTTAAATGGAAAATAACTAAGGTCGGGGACATAGAAAATAATAACTAAGGTCGGGGACATAGAAAATAAATGTACGTGAATCCTATTATGATTATGAGCTTCATTTGTTTAATAGCATTTAACCACTGGGGGACAAGCTTTTTGAGTTTTTCTTATTTAAATTCAAGAAATTTCTGTCATTTCAGAAATAAAAGAATTCACTATGACAATTCGAGAGCAGCATAGATGGTTTTGTTTAATGCATACAGTGGCCAAAACAGTGTACCTGTATCAACTGCAGGAAAAAGAGCTGAAACACAAATAAGCCAGAGAGTACAAAAATCACACATACACGAATGAACACAATGGCAATACACAGGTGACAAGAGATCATTCGTAAATGACAACACAAGAAGGTACAGGGAGGGAGGAATGAGCCGCAGGAGGGGTGCATAGGAGGTGCGTGGCTTTCGCTTCCCATGAGATCCAGAGCGCCCACACACACCCCTGGCTCCCTGGTGTGGTCCATGGTCACCATGGTGACATGGCTGTCATCAGCCAAAGTCGAGTGTCCTTCTGAACAGATGACAGAATCGCCCATGTGAGTCATGTTTAATAACATGACTCCCTGTTTAATAAGGCTTCGCACATTAGGGGGTACTCTGATCTGTGTCTAGTTGCCCCCCAAAGCCTCATGTAATTATGGGATGGGGACTTCTAGAGTTGGTGATTAATTCACGATTCACGGCTGGGATTCTGGGTCTGAATACTGCTGGGATCATGGGTGCGAGTGCTGCACCCGGCCTGCGGCTGTTAGCCTGAATGCACCTGAGGGGAGACAGCTTGCTCTCTGCAGCCGCTGTTGCTGCTCCTCCTCCCTGTGCTCACTGCTCTCTGCCGCCACCCAGATAGGTTGCTCTCTGCCATGTGCTGGCCACTGTGCCTTGAAGCCAGCCAAGGATGGACTGAAACTTCCAGTAACTGTAAGCTAAATAAACCTTTCCTTCCTTTGAGTGTCAGGTATTTGTCCCAGCAATGAGAGAAGAGTGAGACAGGGGCAACATCAGAATTAAAACATGAAAAATCCCAAGGCAAGACTCACCTCAGATAGAGATCTACCATGACCACATCAAATAAACCACCTTCCTCGACTCCAGTTCTCAGAGCTCCTGTCTATCTGTCTATCTGTCTGTCAGATGCCCCTGGGCCATACCCACACATGGGTAGGAGCTCAGAGCCCAGCTCTCTTCTTGGCTACTCAACAAATCCTAGGTAACTTCCATATTACTATGCCACCCCATGGAGTGATGGGTGTAAAACACCACCTTTCTCCCCACCCTTTCATTTAGGGCCAAACACCTCGTGGAGCAAACAGTAAGAGGCGGGAGGTCAGGGGTCCCCAGAGGAGGCCTGCAGAGCCGCTGTCCAGTGGTGCAGCTGGGGAGGGCGACAGTGAAAGCACACACGCTCAGGCGGCCCTCCTCCTGGTGGCGTCCTCTGCCAACAACGCGTCTTTGCTTGGTTCCCTGCAGCGGGAGGGGTGGCAAGGAAGCGGCTGCAGGGTGAAGAAGAGTCTGAGAAGCAGAAGGAAGAGGAGGAGGGAGCAGACGCTCCAGAAGGCCAGAATACAAATGGTTCCTCCAGGAGGAAGAGGAGCGCGTTGTACGTGACAGGCCCTCTACATGGTCTCTGTCCTGACAAGCACTGTGGCTTAGAGTGGACACCGCAAACCCCAGCCACAGCATCTCACAAACACTCCTTACTTGGCTTTTTCAGCCTAACAGCACGCCGTAACAGTCCATGGTAATTCCAGGCCACACAGTCGAACTTCAGGGACAAATCCTCTTCCTTCACCTCAGTTATTCTTAACACGGTGCTGAGACAAGTCATATGGCTGCTAGAACTGAGAAGGCAACCTGTTACGCGTGTGTGTGTCTGTCCTAGGCAGCACACCCATGGATGCGCTGCCACAGGTCCCTTTTGCTTTGTTTATTTTTTAAATTTTGAAACAGAGACTCCCTAAGTTGTCCAGTGAGGACTCAAGCCTGCAATCCTCTTGCCTCAGCCTCCCAGCGCCGGAAGGACAGGTGAGCACATGCCACGCCTGGCCACTTGTTACCTTCAATGCTGCCTTCACGGTGCCAGCTGTCCAGGGAGGGGCAGGGAATGATGTGACTTCAGCACACAAATACCTTTCACTCTGCTCTCGCTCCTCTTGAATTCTTGCTCCATCCAGGTTCTCGATGTTGATTTCATTCACCTGCCACCGGATACCAGCCTTGGGCTGCAGCCCGCTCCCAAAACAAGCCACACAGGTGATATTCAGTGCTTTTCCTAGGGGAACGGCAAAGAAACCACCAACCAAATACATTCTGCAGGCAGTATTTCAGGTCATTCATGGTAACAAAAGTCTAGGGTGGCCGATGTGCCTGAGGCTCTTCCCCTGCTCCTGAGGCTCCAGCACCACCTTCAAGCCCTCTTTCTGTGTCTCCCTCTCTTTGGCAGCTTCTCCTCTTCCTTCACCCCTGCTCTGTGGGAAGTCCAGCCCCCACTCACCTGCCCTCCAGGAAACTAAAAGGCCTACAGCTGCCTGGGCCTCACAGCCTCCCCTGGCCAGGCATGGTTTCCAGGGCTAGAAGGGGGGGTCAGCTCCATCTGGTCCCCTACACCCGGCTGTGCTCCTGCTGACTTTGCTCGGCTCTCCGTGGGCTGCCTCAGCTTTACCCAGCCCAGCCTATCATCTGGGCCCCGAGTGTGCACAGAGAGCGCTCCAGCTGGGCCCCCAAATCCCAGAACTGCAGACCTCCTGGTTCTGGAGCTGAAGGGTCAGGGCTGTTGTTGCCCGTGCGCCTGCACTTGGCCAACCCCGTCCCCTCGCGAGAGGCACCAGGAGCTCTTCTGGAGGGGAGGAGGGAGGCAGGGGTGATTCAGCGCTCGGACAGCCCAGAAGCCTGGAAGGCCACGGCAGAGAGCGCAGAGAGCATAGCGCGGAGGTGCTGTGCTGGCCTTGGGCAGGGGGTGGGGGCTGTGCTCTGGCAGGGGAGCGGGGTGGGGCAGCAAGAGATAGAGACAGCCTGGAGGTGAGAAGAAGGGAACCCAGGGCACAGTCTGCGGGACCAGAAAAGCCCAGCCTAGGGGCAGGACAGAGTGTGGGGGCTTGACAGGAGGGCTGAGGGCAGGGAGGCCGCCGGGGCGCCCCTCCCCTGCTGGCTCCCCCAGTCCTGGGCACTCCCAAGCAGCACGCAGAAGGTGGGGGTTAGAGCCAGGACGCCTGTCTTCTCGTTCCTCCCGTGACCTGGGGTGTCTGTGACCTGGGGTGTCTTCTGGAACATCTTTGATACCCCAGGTACCTCCGGGGCAGGTCAGAAGGAAAGGGGACGCGAACACGAAACACTGCACAGCGCAGCCCAGACGCAGCCCTGCGTGCTGTGTGAGCCCGTCCAAACCACAGCGCACGGCTGGGGCGCGCACGGTCCTCCCACACCGAGGACACGCGGGTCAGCGCGGCCCTGCGCTATCAGCCCGAACTCAGGCAGGGCCCTTCCCACCACCCCAGCCCCCAAGGAAGGATTTTGCAGCTTTCCCAGCATCCTTTCACAATTCTCTTACCGATTTCCACTTCCTTTGTTCCGTTGTGTGTAGGGGTCAGCATCACCGGAAACACAGAAACTCCTAGTTTATCTTAAAATTAAAAACAGGAAGCATATATAAGTACTCAGGGAGCGCGGGATGTTGTCAGTTTGCCCTTTTGTGTTTTTCCATCTTGTTTCGTAACACTGTTCTCGGATTCTTCCAGGGCACAAATATATACACACGCACACACACACACGAAACAAAGAACATTTTGTAAATAAGGACATTAGATACTGTGAAGTAGATAGAAAATGTTCAACTGGGGAAGGGGACTAGGGGTGAGGAGGGGGAAGGAAAGGGATAAGGAAAAAAAAAGACAAGCAGGAAAAAACGCAAACAAAGCTTTTGTAAATAAGGTGGCGAAGAGGGGTTGAGGGAGGGGAGGGGAATGGGGAGAAAAATGAATCAAGCCAGATTACATATAGGAGGAGATCTGTGATGAGTGTGATCATGTAGACCGAAAACGTAACGATACCGGAGAATAAAACTCCCAGCACTAGAGACACCTGGGGCGACTGCGTCCACATTCTCTAAAACCAAAACGAATTTTAGGAACACCTGAAGAGCAGAATGTATTTACTGGGGGAAAGCAAGCTGTTGTCTCAGTGAGGGAAAGAAGGGGACCCCGGTGGGTTGCAAGGAATCTACCTTTTCTGGGAATTTATGAGCAAATCCATGCGGCAGGCGGGTCCAGGGCGGGAAACCTGGGAACTTGCGAGGGGGCCACGAGGTGGAACAAAACTATGCTTAGCCAAGATTACAAGCACCATTGCGCAAGTACAACTGATTAAATTGGGATCAAATGAAGAAGCAAGTCGCGCGGACATGAATACGGAGCAGGGGCTTTGCGGGGGTGGGGGTTTGTCAAGATGATGAAAACCTATTAGAATATCAGCCCCTTGCCCAGCTTATGCTTATTTGTCTAATGAGTAATTCAGCCTCCAGGTTGTAAAAGTGTTGATGTTTATAGAACTGTGAAGTGAGTTGCTAAGTCTAAATCTTTCTATTTTTTTTTTTCCAAAGGCTTAGGGAATGAAAGACTTTTTAGCACAGCTTCTTCCCTTTCCTGAACCCTCCTACTGTACACATAGAAATGTTCGTGTGCCCAATATTTGTCCGAAACAATTCATATAAAACTTCAAATTCTTCATGAAGTTGCTGGCTCTTGCTTCACACTTGTGTTGCTTTTCAAAGTTCCCTAGGTTATGCTTTCAAGCTTAGAATTTTATAAAAATAAAAACAATTTCCTGAGAATTCTGATTTCTGTCATGAGCTCAGTTATGAGTCCTTTGCAAAATCACACCAAACACTTTGTGTTACTAATGGATTACAAAAGGATTGACACTGCAGATGACTTCAATAAGGGCAAAATGTGAGATTCACCACAGAGAACAGGTAAATCTCTTATTCATTCCACTGCTCCCAAAATGATTTGCATCCAGTCAAGTTTTACACACTTTCTGTTCATATTAGAAAATAAAGATTTGCATCCATGATCAAAAATAATAATAATAATCAGTCCCTGATGGCCATCCCTCGGGAGGTATGTGGCTGCATTTGTTTAACCTCTTGCCTAGCGATCTGGACTGCGGTGGAGATGTCTGTCTCTCCCCCAGTTGCAGGGTATCTTGTCTTCCATATTGGGTCCTTTGAGGGCCTAGCCCTCTCAGACTGCCTGTATTATTTCTATCTAACTCATCTGCCTACAACAGGACAAATAAAATTAATGTAAAAAACACTTAACGCTTTATTCATACCACCTGTGATGCCCTTCGATATTTTCTTCTCTCTTCTTATGTCACTAAAATCTATGTTGGTCTGAATCCTTAACCGTGTGACCTGGCTTCTTTGCTGACTTCAGCAGACCAACCTGGTATATATTAGATCTATGTACTCACCTATGATTGAGAACCCTTTCCCCTAAATGTTTTTACATATATTTGAAAAAAAAATACTTTTCAATATTAAATAGCCCACTTGAGCTCATTGGTCATGCCAAAAGCTCTGCACTCCAGTGTCAAAAATCACTGTGCAACATTTGTGTGACCCTTTTCAGAATCCTCCATAACCACATGCTGCACATATCCAGATTCAACCAACCAAGGATCGAAAGTATTAGGAAAAACCTTGCCTCCACCCTATACATGTGCAGATGTTTTTCTTGGCAGTATTCCTTAAACAGTTACAGGGCACTTAGATCATGTCAGGCACCAGAAGTCACGCAGCAATGATGCGGATGGGACCCTGTGCACAGGCATTATGCAGACACCGAGCCATTTAACATAGGGGGCTGGGCTGTCTGAGGGCTTGGGGATCTCGGGGGTCTTGGGGATCTCGGGGGTCTTGGATCCAGGGCCTCACACAGTCGTACTGCCATTCAAGATTACCATGTTAGCACCGAGGCCACTTAATCTTCAGAAAAGTAAGCCAGGGGCCGGGGAGATGGCTCAGTAGGATAAGTGCTTGACTGGCAAACGCAAGGATCTGAGTTCAATCCCCGGTTCCACAAAAAAAAAAAAAAAAAAAAAAGAAAAGAAAAGTAAGCCAGGAAACAGTAGATGTGGTTCTGGGTCAGAGATTCCCTTTGCATGTCTGCGACCTTGCTAGGGCATCAGGAGACGTCTCAGCCAGCAGAAGTAACAGAGAGGAGGACCCCGGCAGGAACTCAGCAGGCATTTTTGTTTCAACCATGTCCAGTTTCGTTAAATGTCCCAGCTTACCTTTAACAAGGAATAACCTGGTTGCTGTCACGTTATAGCTGATTCCATTTTCGCTGTGCGTAAGTTGACATGTGTAATGGCCTGCATCGTCAGGCCCCACGTTGTCGATGAACAAAGACGATTGGTGCGCCCTGTACCTGGGTCCTTGGAGAGCTGTGCAGTTCTGAAACACAAGGCCCCTCCCACTCTGAGCAGTCCCGCCTTTGCATCTATTTTAATGGTGCAATTTTCACTGGTATTGCCCCTCTACTCAGATGTCCTTGTACCTTAAACCACTGAAGAGGTGCTGTCCACGTGTAGAGGTAGGTCTTGGGACAAGATATCTTGGGATTTGTTTCTGATCCAGATATCGTTGAGTACATCAAATAACGTGGATGGTGGCAATCTGTTGGTCGTTTGTAGATGGTGACATTTGCATAAGCAGTCCTATTCTTGGTGGGGCTATGGAAATAAGGCAGTTAGAAAGTGTTATTGTCATTGTGAAACAACGGCACCCTGCTCTAGGTTTTGCTCGTATCATTTTTCTTCTTAAGACAACAATATGCGGTCCTCAGATCTAGAGTTTTCAATACTGTTTTGCAGCTCTCGAGATAAAGCAGAGCCCCTCTGCGAGCCCTAGAAATGAACCCTCAGCTGTTTCTTCTAGAGCTACATCTGGTGTAATGGGCTGACCCAATGTAATAGCATTTAAGTTCCTAAAAGTACCCTTTCATTCAAATCAGCTCACAAATTCAGCTGCCCCACAAAGGTGTAGAGAAGGTTCAGTTTGTCCAGCTGAGACCCCCCCCACACATACACACACACACACACACACACACACACACACACACACACACACATTGACAGCAGGCTCAAAGATTAAGAGACTTCCAGGATCGTACCTTCTGATAACGCAAGCATACATCCCAGAATCGCTCACGTTGGCAGGGAGAAATTTCAGCCGCTCTCCTGAAGCAAAGACTCTTTTACTTCTATCAGTAGGAATGCTTTCATTTGTTTTCAAGTTATACCAGTCCACAGGGTAACGAGACCTTTCAGTTTTTGGACATTCCACAATGAAAGCTTCGTTTTCCAGGCCCCATTTTAATGAACCTAAAACACACACAGATGGCCCCGGAAGGTCATATGGAGGTCACATGCTCTTGACGTGTCCACCTGAGGTAAAATTTTAAAACGCAGTGTGTGTCTTGGTACTTGGAGAAAGGCTAGTAAATGATGAAGGCCTTTGATGAAAGGCTTCGCTGGGTGCCACAAGTTACGGTGAGGCGCAGCCTCTCACACGCTTCAGTGGGAAAGCACCCTTGTGTGCCTGCACAAGTTACTGTCGGGCAACAAACGCCTGTAACTCCTGTTAGATGCAGATATTGCACTAAAGTGTAACTTATTTGAACATCAGGAAATTATCACACACTCATTATAGAAACTTTCTTCTTTCCAGTCTTGTGAGGAAGAATAACTGAGGAGCAAAACATTGTTTTTCCAATTGATAATTCAGCCGGGACAATCAGAAGCAGGGAGCTTAAAGCCAATGTTCTTGGAATCATTTCATAAGTTTTAAAATAGTGGCTACGGAATGATACTTACTACCTCTCGCCACTGTGAAGCACATGGTTAGCGTCAGAGTCGCCAGGATGCAACGCCGGGTTCCGGCTTCCTCCGTCAGGCGCAAGCGCAGGCTCCGCATCGTTGGGGTTGTTCAGAGCCGTCGACAGTCCCGGAGAGCGACTCTGCTGTGGTGAACGTGCGCAGTGCTGAGCAGGACTTGGAGCTGTGTAGAAAATCAGTGTCTCTGGGGAGAAAAGTGACGCGAAGCGACAAGCAAAGCATTCATGTAGCCATGAGTTTTAGGACTCGAGACCTTGCAAGAAGGTCAGTCAATCCACCCACGCTCACTGAGCACACACGGCTCTCGCAGCGAGCTTCAGACGTGCTCCCACCGCACCTCTGGGCCGTGAGGCCCTTCCAGTGCGCGGGCTATTGCACACATCTAGTGTACCCGTCTCGCAAGCATGTGCTGAAAGAACCCATCAAGAGGAAGAAAAATAAATTTCTATTTAAAAAATTAGAGCCATAAAGTTCAATAGAATCTAGGAAACTCAGTGTTATATAAAAGCACAGACACCTGCCCCACGCACAAGAAAATAATCCTCATAAACGACCAAGCAAATAAAGAAAAACTAGAACTAAAGCATTCTCCAGAACTTATCTCAAACTGCCCCAAACTCTCAAATATTTGTTCCTGCCTCAGCTTGTCCCTAAGTATCACCAAAGGCTCTTACAGAGTACTTGAAGTTCTAGGAATAACGATCAAATCCTTTTTCATTTTTCTTTCAGCAAAAGAATCCTTTCCTATACTTTCCCTCCTAGAACATCAGGAGAGGGCTGGGACCAGTGCAGAAACTTAGATACTCAGGAACAAGCACAGCACCCTGGCTGTCTCCAGGAAGGCACGTCTAAGCACAAGCAGATGGTCTTTTTCTCTCCACCAACTCCAGGCAATGCTTACCCCCAACTGACAGGCTGGAGGGAGTCAGCCCCCACGGACGGCCAAGCTAAGAACGGAACTCGGCTGTCCTTCTTTCTCCTGCTGGGCAACTGCCTATGTAGGAGCAGTCTCTCTTTCATTTTAAACACTCAAAGACATCTGGCAAATTTCCACTCCACCCACCACAAAATTTGACCTTTAGTCGAAATCCATGACTTGTCCAAAATGACTTATACTACAGTACTAAGAAATCTTGCACTCAGTACATAAATATTTAAGCTGGGGACAGCACTGCAAGGTCCCTTTGAAAACAAGCACTCCGATAATTGTCTCTGCTTTAGCCCCAGCTGCTCAAGCTGAACGGTGAAGACTGCTGCTCATGTCCTGCATGGAAAGGCTTTTAGTTCCAGGTGATCTCAGCCTCACAGGCCAAGCTCGCAGATGCTGCTTGATAGCTCTGGCAGGCCCCCATCAGAAAGGCTCAGCCCGCTGTGGTGTGGAGAATGTTAAAACCAAAGCGAGGCACTAGGCACAGAAGTGGCCAGGGCTGCGCAGCTGCCTAGACGTGCTGTCTGCCATCCAGAGCATGACTCAGCCGATCCCCAGATGGGCCAGGCTCCAGCCGCAAGGGAACTCTCAGTTTGGGGTGAAAAATGAATTTTTCTAAGGAGTTCGTGGAAACAGAGGACTAGAATAGATAAGCAGTTGCTTCTGGGGAAATGACAAAGTGTGACCTCAAAAATTCTTTGCTCCTTATAAAAAACAAAGATTAATGGCAAAATTGTACCAGAAAGTTTACTCTCTGGTTTTCCTTTAATTGTGTTGAGGCAGGGTCTTGCTATGTAGCGCAGGCTGGCCTTAAACTCACTGTGTAGCCCAGGGTGACCTAGAACTTGCAATGCTCCTGCCTGAGGCTACCAAGTGTTGGGATTACCGGTGTGTACCACCCCACCCAGCTCACTTATTGCCAAATCATCCCAACTGGGAAGAAATCAAGGACCAACTCTAGACCAGCATGGTAAGAGATTCACAACAGCTTATCTGTACGCAGCACTCCCCCATGTCCATGTCATCTCCAGGTCTAAAGGACAGCAAATAATAGTGCCTTCATGCTCAGGCCACCCCATGGGTCAGGACTGTGGTCATTATCCCCATTCTACACACCAGGATGTTGGGGTACAGGGTTCCCCAAGCCACAAAACTCTGAGAAGTTAAAGCCAGAGCTTGGATCCAAACAGGCTGTCTCCAAAGACAAGCATCATCATCAAGTGACAGGCGGGTAGATGTCACTCTGAGCAGGGCTCTGGGGAAACACTTCTAGTCTGTGTCTTACAGCAACTATGCCCCCACTGTGGTTAGAACTCCTGGCACTTTTTATGTACCCCGGAGTTTACCTGGCCCTTGGATGTGGCATCAAATTCTGCAAAGAAGAGGAGCTAAGTCATGCAGCTCCTGGGAGATGGACCTGGAGGTTCTGGCCATGACTTTGGACTTGTGTCCACTCCTCACTCCTCTTGGCTCATGGTCTCAACGTCATCCTACGGTGCCCCGAGGCCTGAGGTCACAGCCTTGGGGGCCAGGGCTTTGGAGCCCGCCTGAGCTTCTGTGAGCATCAGAAGATCTGCTGCACAAAATGTTAGGAACTTGGGGTTGTTTTCTATTTTGTGTTCTGAAATAGCCTCTTACAATATCTATTAAAGATGAGAATCTGTTTACTAAACTAGGCCACGTGTTGGTCTGATGGCTTTAAAAGTAAGGTGTCAGTTGGAGTCTTAATGCAGCAATCACTAAATCTTTACGAAGCATTTGACAAAACCCTGTTATTGTTTTTAAATAGTTCAACCGCCCATTAAATAATTTTCTCATTCAAAATGTAATACTCCAATTTAAAAATAATGAAAAATAACATAAAGGAAAATGTTGTGTGTTACCTATCATTAGCATCTTTCAGATTTTACAGGATGAAAATCCACGGAGAGGACTGATTTAATGGACCTTGTTCACCCAGTTATGACGGTGAGCTTAGAACCAGATTTTATCAAAGTTGGACTTTCTGAAACTCAAAGCTGAGGTAGGTTTTATTGCCCCTAGTACCGAGTGAAAATAGGAGAAATTATAATGGCAAAACTTTCCCTCTTATAACTGAGTCTGAGTTATTTTTAAAAAGTAAGTCAGTCTAATGTATTTTATTCTTCCTCTTGAAAAAAAAAAAAAAAAGACTGGAGCATTTTGGCTTCTAACTGCTCTGACAGCATCCAGCATTGACTATAACGGTGAGGAGAAACTTAAAACAACATCTGAAGGTGAGGGCTTAGAGTGAACAAATCCAGCAAGCGAGCTGAAGCAGCCACGCATTTCTAGAGTGAATCAGCATTCTTCCAGGGCCTGCCTGTTGCCTAGGCTTCTTACAGCCACTCTACACTTTCAAAATTGCTCTACTGAAATTGAACAGTACTCTTTTCCCCTGATTTGGGCTTATAGTTTTGAAATCTTCTATCTGCCCACCTATAATCAACTTCTTTGAAACTGCCTATGGAAAACAAATGAAATGAAATAAAACTTCTATGACCAGAGTAAGAGCTAGCTGCTGGCAACTGGACGATGCCCTCAAGTATTTTTCAAATTAGACAGCATTATGTGTGTTTGCTCTTCTGCGATGGCCAGTGTCATAGTCACATGTGGGCCATCATGCCAGAACATTCCAGAGCGTGCAATCCAAGCCATCTTACTGTAACCACACTCAGAAAACAGGAAATTATGTTAGACTTTTGCAATTTTAGTGGGTTAGGAATTCTCAGTAATTCTCACAAGAGCAAGCAGGGGGCAGATTTCGTCCCATTTAATGGAGTACTTTTTTTCATTATTCAAAAAACTTTTGCTGAAAATTTCTTATAACTACAAAAAAATTGACACATAGGGGCCTCTACATGGTAACTTCAAACACAATATGTTTCTTTTCTGTAAAAAAGTTTTAATTAGAAATTTCCAAGCCACAAATAGATAGTTTCAAGCCTGAATGTCACTCTGAAAATGTATTATGGAGCAAATATTGTGTCTAATTAAAAGTGATGGGCTTTTTATTCTTCTCACTGCTGTAACAGGTCCTTGATTTCCTTGGCATTGACATTTTCGCTGCCTGTTCTTTTGCTGGTTTTTTTCTTAGCTTTCTTAAAAGCTAGTACATGTTTGCAGCACATGCAGTCTGCAGGCATCTTGCGGAGTGGGCACACATACACACCGCAGCTGGTTTCTTTTTTTAAACCCCATTTCCCTTCCCTTCTTTTCCCCTCCTGCTTCCTCCAGTTCTCCATCTCCTGCTGATATTATTAATCTTGGATCATGTTGTGGCATAAGGTCTGTATTCACGGGGTCATTAGGTTCCCCTTCTCAGCACATCTGTATTCTACTTATTCCCCTTCCCATCTTCCTTCCCCCGCCCTTTTCCCTTGAAGGATTTGCCTATTGCAAGAGGACCCTCACCTCGCCCCCTTCTACCTATCCTTTATTATCCTCTTGGCTTGAGCTTTGCCTCACTGAAACGAGAGACACCACGCAGCACAAAAGCTTGTGGGTCTGGCTCATTTCAGTGACATTCTCTTTTCCAGGTGCATCCACTTCGCTACACACCTCTCAATTACGTCATCTTGGTAGCTGAGCAGTATTCTACGCTACAGTGGTACCTCAGCTCACAAACTTCATCCTTCCCCTGATTCTTATCAGAAGTCATTCCGCATGCTTGGGATTCAGTTACAGCTAGTGTCGTGGAATGCATTCTGTGACCAAAATCATGGAAAGAATTTAGCTTGTGGACCGAGTTTATCTATTACAAATTGTGCTGCTATAAACACTGGAATGCATGTGTCACTTTGGTATGCTGCGTAAAGCTCTTCGGGGAAGATACAGAGAAGGGGGTTTCTGGGTCACACGGAATTTCTAATTTTAACTCATTAAGAAATCTCCACTGACTTCCGTTGACCTGGTTTAAATTCCCACCAACAATGAAAGAATGTTCCTTTTTCACCCCAGCCAGGCCAGCAGCTGTTATTGTTTGATTCAATGATGGCCATTTATTTTGGAGTAAAAGGGAGTCTCAACATTGCTGTAATCTGCAATTGTCTAATGGGCAGAGATGCTGGGCATTTTTTCACATATTTGTTGACCAACAATCTCAGCATTTGCCTGTGTGCAATGATGAACAAAATCTTTTGAGGGCACAGCTTAAGGCCATTGTATAAAGTCCACGTTCCGACTGCACAGAGCCTGTGGCTGTCCAGATCCATGTT